GACAAGGAGGAATCAGTGTACTACAGGACATGGGGGCGATTTTATGAGTGGCTTGAAAAAAATACAAATAGAAAGGAAAAGGAACAAAACATGAAATAAATATCTCAGACGACACATGATTAAATTAGGGGGAGGGGAAATAAGAAAATATGAAACTGTAAATATACAGGCAGAAAAATGATATGAATTGACAAATGTTAAATAGTAATTATAAGAATGTATATTAAAGAATGAATTTGAAAGAAAAAATAAAAAAACTTTTTACAACAAAAAAATTGTTGTGAGCAAAGTAGAAACTAATTCTGTACAGGTAGGTTGAACTACAATCCCCATAATCCACACCCAGCAGTATCACCAAGCTGACTCCTTTGTCTGTCGTTTCTTTTTCTTTCTCATTTTTGAGAAACAAGTTGCAAAATGGAGCTCACCGAATTGGAGAACCAGGGAAGCCAAAAAAAAGGGGGAAGGAAAAGGATCTTTGTGCTCCCCAAACAAATATTTGGTTTTGTGGCAGCTGCTTTTCTTTTCTTTTCTCTTGAGTGTATTTTTGAGGCTGAGATTCTCCGGACAGCATTTTAATAACTGGAGGTTTTCTTGAAGCTGACCGTCTCTAGCAATCAAGCCTTTTCTTTGTTGAAGAGGTTGCAACTCTGGCTGCAATTCTGCCGTGGGTGGGTTTGAATGGCCATCATTGTCCAGACTTCTCGTCAGCTGAGATAATAAGAAAACTCCCCCCAAAAGATTTCGGAGGGTGGGAAGGTCTCGCAAGTTGAATCACACTAATTCTGGTTTCCAGCAGCCAGGATAAAGGAGGAGCAAGAGTTGACAATTCAGAAGATATTTCAGTCTGATTTGGTGCCTGGGGAAATGAAAGGGAACAGGTCCCATGCAAATTCCTCCCCCCCCCCTCTCTTCTTTTTGATGGAAAGAAAGATTAAGAATGAAACTACCGTTGGCAGATTCCTTTCATTTATTTTTTTTCCATTTTGCATTGTGTTTTTGGGAAGAGGGCATGAATAGTACTGGGTAAAGAATCTCAAATAGAACTTGACCATGTTACCTGATAGAACAATTAATCCAGGGGTGTCAAACACAAGGCCCGTGGGCTGGATCCAGACCATGATGTGGTTGGATCCGGCCCGCGATGTGGTTGGATCAGGCCCGCGGAAAATGTAAGGGGCTGGCCCATGTTGCTTCAGCCTGGTCTACCCAATGTGAAGAAGAAACATGCCAGCAGTTTGGGAGTGGTATCAAGCTGTCCACACCCACCCAGTCAGCCACACCCACCCAGTCAACCATGCCCACCTGTCCCCTCCCCCAAGGTCAACCACAACCCTGATGTGGCCCTCAATGAAATTGTGTTCGACACCCCAGAATTAATCAGTGGAACAATTTGCCTCCCAAAGTTGTGGGTGCTCCAACATTGGAGGATTATAAAGAAGAGAATGGACAGCCCCTTGTCTCAAATTGTCTAGGGTCTCTTGCTTGAGTGGGGGGTTGGACTAGAAGACCTCAGAGGTCCTTTCCAATTCTGCAAACCTTGCTAGACTTGAAATTAAGGTGTGTTAGAAGCTTGGTGCCAAGATTGCCTTTTCTTTTTCCCCATAATCCTCCAGATGAAGTCCTGTTCTGAGGTAAGTGTTGTGACTCAGCAGTTCTGCTGTGAGTTTTTTCTCAATTCAAGATTCAGTATGCAGCTGGGGCTTGTGGGAGGCAGGTTTGGAGATAAAAGGACGGATGCTGCATGCCCCAGTCGCTGGAGTCAACGTCGTTCCTTTGAGTGTTCCTTGTTTGTACAACATTGCTTGATGATTAATCGTGATTTATGCTTGTTACGCTTGGATAAGTGCTTTGGTGTTTCATGTAAACCTGATCCGTGAAGACTGGGGAAGAACTGCAGTGCTTGTAAGAGTTTTTGTTTTGCATTCTTATCAGAGACTTGTATATATGTTATTTCTGGGCTCGAAGCCAGTTTGAAATTGAGCACTGATAAAGAAAGACTTCCCTTTAAGTTGCCTGCCTGCATTTGTTAACGAGCCGTGAAGGGCGGGACAGAACAGGTAACTAAGGGAAATAATAGCCTCTGCCACTGTCTTCATAAGCTGGAAGTGGTCATCTGTGATGGTTATGTGAGAATGACCTTGGGAGACAGGACAACAAGATGCAACCAAGGGAACAGCCAGATAAAAGCCAATTAAGCCTGTGGCACAAATATGAGTGGGGGGGGAGACACTCAAAAGAGACCCTCCCTAGTTTTGAGGTTGTAAAGGGGATGATGGAGAGAAATACTTTAACGCATCTCTGTAGACATTCTGAAAATGAATATTCCTCAAAACTCAATTTTCTAGTCCACGTGCCTGCCAGAATTTGATAAGCCCATCAAAAGAGCATCTGGAAGAAACTGAGGTTGCCTCTCTTGGGTGCTTTATTGATTATGATAAGAAGGAAACATCTGCTGATAGCTAAGGAATGGAAGACTGTGGAATTTGCTGATCTGAGACTAGACAAGAATGCTGGTGGATTCCTTATTTACAGAGTAATGTATCTCCCTCAAGAGAAGATGAGATGTTAATACTGTCCTTGGACCAGGGCAAATGCATAGGATCTATAGGTCTGCAGGATCTACTTTCCATCCTATGGAAGCACTTTAAAAAAAAAAAAAGCAAAAATAACTGGGACAGATGAAAACTGATAAAGAGATTATATTGTTATATACTAAATATTAAACTTGAAAGTAAGCAGGTAAAGGAGACAATGATTGCCTGGACTAAAAACTTTGGATATGCAATAGAATTAGATAACTGGCAGAAACTATGGGATAGAAATGTTAAATTGACTATGTCAACTGTGTATAAAGAAAATTTGTATAAAATGTTTTATAGATGGCATTTTGCAAGATTGGCTAAAATGTACAAAGATAGATCTGCTAAATGTTGGAAGTGTAATCAACCATTGGGTTCATGCTATCATATGTGGTGGACTTGCCCAAAAGCTAAAAAATATTGGACGAAAATACACACTTGGTTGGAAAAAATGATAAAGCAGCATATAGACTTGCAATCAGAGATATTTTTGTTGGGCATCCTACTGGAAAAATATGATTAAAAGACTATATATCTGGTTTTACATATACTAACTGCAGCCAGAATTGTATTTGCACAACAATGGAAAAATGATGAGATTCTGTCAGATGAGAATGTAATTAAGAAAATACTAGAATGCGCAGAAATGGACAGACTAATGCTTACTATTAAGGATAAAGAAGCTGAATATTTTTTGATGTGGGATGTATTTTATCAATGGTTAGACAATGGAAACAAAAGTTAGAAAGGAAGAGATATTAAAATGTAGAGAGAATTTGAAGATGAAGATGTTATGTATTATTGTAATTATATTACTATATAGTTATATTATTAATATCGTGATGAATATAACAACAAATATGTGGGTTATGGCTGTTCAAATAACTGTACCCAGATGTCATACTGTTTGATGGAAATGGAAAGTAATATAAACAAATAAAACATAAAAAAAATAAGCAGCAAAAATTAAATCAACTCATTCTGTCCTTCCCCCTAGCATACTGACATGACATGGTCAAGGATTCACTCAACAGATGGTTAGCCTTGTAGAGGCCATTCCAAGCAGGGTCAAGATAAGGGAGAATATTTATAGCTTAGGCTTGCCATTGGTCCTTGGTGCTCTCTGAGCTCGGTTGTTTTCTTGCAGATGTTTCATTACCCAAACTAGATGTTTATGGAGATTCTCAATCATCCAGATCATGGTTGTCTCAAAGCTGCTTTCTTAAGAGGCAACTGGTTTTTCTTTGAAGACGTTCCACTTCTCCAAGAAGCTTCTTCAGCTCTGATACTGTGATGATGATGATATTACCCTAGTTTGGGATACCCAAATTAGGTAATATCACCATCATGCTAGCACTGATAATGTTACCTAGTTTGGATAATGAAATGTCTTCAAGAAAGCAAGCCAACTCACAGAACACCAAGGAGCCCTCAAAGCATGGTCATTATAGCAATAGCACATATACCGCTTTGTAGTGCTTTACAACCCTCTCTAAGCGGTTTACAGAGTCAGCCTTCCCCCCCCCCCAACAATCTGGGTCCTCATTTTACCAACCTCAGGAGGATGGAAGGCTGAGCCAACCTTGAGCCAGTCAGGATCGAACTGCTGGCAGTGGGCAGAGGGAAGGAAGGACAATAGCCATAGCACTTAGACTTATATACCACTTGACAGGGCTTTTACAGCCCTCTCTAAGAGGTTTACAGAGTTGGCCTCTTCCCCCCAACAATCTGAGTCCTCATTTTACCAACCTCGGGAGGATGGAAGGCTGAGTCAACCTTGATCCTGGTGAGATTCGATCTGCCAAACTACTGGCAGCCGGCAGTCAGCAGAAGTAGCCTGCAGTACTGTATTCTAACCACTGCGCCACTACGGCTCTTTGTCAACAAGCAATGCTCTAGTGATGACCTAATAAAGGAGCCCTACAGAACAACAGATCATGCAGTGAAAGAGGAAAGAGAGGTCTCGTTCTTCTATAATAGCTTTTAACCCTCGCCTCCTCTTTGCCCTTCCCTGCTCTCAAGGCTGGATGGCAGCCTGCTTACTTGTGCCTGAAGTTCACACCAAGCCATCTCTCCTGCTGGATTTGCCCATAATGACTTGCCATTTGTTTTGGCTCGGCTCCTTGCTCGTTTCAGCCCTCTTTGTTCTTGGTTCCTAATAACGCGTTTTTAAAAAGATATATATTTATATAAAAATAGTTCTGTATTCATTGGTAGTGCTGGTAGTAATTGAAATGAAAAGAGCTTGCCTTGCTTGCCTTGCTCTTCCAGAGACCCGCATGGCAGCTGAAGCGCGAGTCTTAAAAACAGTTCAGAGTTTGCATGCTGCCGGCAGAATGCATCTGCAATAAAGCATTCTCACCACCTTGCTTCCCCCCCCTCTCTCTGTCTCTTTTTTTTCTCCCCTAACATTTCCAGTTCTCCCCCAAACGAGCCTCGAAGTGGAGTCTTACTTGGCTCACCCTGGCGACCTCCTCCAGTTGCGCTGCCGCCTGCGGGACGATGTTCAGAGCATCAACTGGGTACGAGACGGGGTGCAGCTATCCGAGAACAACCGGACGCGCATCACAGGGGAGGAGGTAGAGGTCAGGGACGCTGTGCCCGAGGACTCGGGCCTTTACGCCTGCATGACCAACAGCCCCTCGGGAAGCGAGACCACCTATTTCTCCGTGAACGTCTCAGGTTTGTAGCAGGCTACCCACCCGGATAATTGGGAGCTGCTGGAAAAGACAGTTTTGAATGGTCTTTTATCAGCTTAACCGTTTTTTTCCTCAACCTTAACTGCCAGTTGCAGAAGATTCAGGATTCAGTCTATATGAAGGGGGTGTCAAACTCAAGGCCTGGATTTAGTCCTCCCAGGCTCTGTTTTCAGCTGTGACGGCCTCCTGCCTCCCTCAGCCAGTGAAAATGGAGCTTGGAGGTGTGTGTACCCTCGAGCTCCATTTTCATTGGCAGAGGGGGGCAGGAGGTTGTCACGGCTGAAAACTGAGCTCAGGAGTCCGTTTTTGCTGCCAGATCGCTCGGGCCAACACAGATGCCCCTGACATGAGTAATGTCATGCTGGCCATTCTCCCCTGCCTCCCCCCCCCCAAAGGCCAAACACAACCCTGATGGGGCCCTCAATGAAATTGAGTTTGACACCCCTGATCAGTGCAGTGCACAAGGGGACACCGCTAGAAAATTCTCTCCAGTTGTTCATTTTTTTAAAAAAAGCATTGTCCATAAGTTTTAAAAGAGTCATGTGTTCAGTCCTAGGGCGAAAATGGATCAGGGTTCAAAGTGAGCTCTGGTGGTATGGATAAGGTGGTGCTCTTTCATATTTTTTTTAATTATTGGAGAAAATCAATGCTGTTCTGCTTTATTTGGAGCAAGTTATCACATCACTTTTGTTTTTGAACTGCTATTTGTAATTTTAATTTGCCAGATGGTTAAATTTATATTTGGAATTGTATGCCAATTTGATGAAGGTAAGAGGGGATTCCATGGAAAATTTTGGTGGACCTCAATTTCATGGGGCCGTTGAACTTTATTTGGCTACCCGTAGATAGAGGGGGGAAAAAAGTTTGAGGATGCATTTGATTTGATTTTCCCAGTTTGAAAGTCCCTGACAAATTCATTTTGGTTAGAGATGATACGGATGGATGGGGAAAGAATGACAGAAAATTCGATGGCCATTTTCAGCTTAGCAGAGCTTCCTCTGTTTGGTGGCATTCTCTTGTAATATGGAAAAGATGGATGGATGGATGGATGGATGGATGGATGGATGGATGGATGGATGGATGGATGGATGGATGGATGGA